TGTGGCCACCCCAGTTCTCACACAACGGGGCCATAGATGGAGTAGCCATGGTAGCAGAGACGGTGGCTCTGCATGGGCCCAACAGCCCGGACTCTCTCCAAAGGTGATAAAACTACTTTTGCTATTGAGTGTCTGACCTGTTTGCCGCAGAGACCAACACTGAGTGCTCAAGAATGCCAGACAGCCACTGGGTGGCAAGTTGATTACACTGGCCCTTCCACCCTGGAAGGAGTCCCATTTCATCGTGACCGGGTTTGACATGTATTCCCAGTACAGCTTTGCCTTTCCTGCCCATAGTGCTTCAGGCAGTACCACTACTGAAGAACTTAAAGAATGTCAGACAGTCTGACACAGGATCTCACATAACACTGCCTCAAACCAAGGATTTCACTTTCTAGCAAGAAGGTACAGTGTTGGGAACTTGACCAGAGGATCCACTGGTCATACCATATACCATACCACTTGGAAGCTATCAAACTGATAGAATGGAACAATGGACTTTAGAATGCATAGCTGAAACTCCACCTTGGAAATAACCCCTTGTGAGGTTGGATTGTTATCCTTCAGGACAATGCAAATATACTCCTTAGGCCAATGGCTGGTATATGGTGCTGTGTTCACAGTAGATAGAATACATGGATCCAGTGATCCAGGGATAATCAGGTCCTGATACTCAGATGTGGGATGCTTTCGTTATAAGACACAATAAGAGTCCCACTAAACCAGAAGCTCTGGTGGCTCTCTGATCACTGTGGGCTCTTAACAGCAGAAGATCTACAAGCAAACCCTCAGAAGGAGGTGGAGGCTGCTGCTACATAATGAGACCAGAGAGGAATATATTGGGTCCTCAGGAGATCCACTGCAGGCATTTCTTGGTATTCCTGTGCCTAGGTATAATTGTAAATAAATAAGTACAGCCACCACAGCCTGGTAACAGCATGATAACCAGGGTCTGAAACCCCTCAGGGACAAGTGCCTGGTTCAATCCATCAGTCAAGCCACCTGCACCAGCAGAAGTGCTAGCTGAGGTGGAGGGGAATCTAGAAAGGGTCGTGCAGGAGGGAAACGAGTACCAGCTATGGCCTGGGGACCAGCTGCAGCAGCAGGGGCTGTACTTTGTCCCATTACTCTTGTCTTTTAAAAATTTCCCAGAAATTGGGATTAGAAACTACTCAGATGGAGAAACTTAACATGAGAAGCAAATGATCTCAGCAATACAGAGAGTGGACCATAGTGAATGTTTTTTGTTTCCTGCCCAAATCCACTTTATAAGCTCATGCATCTGTACTCCAGCTGCTGGGAATGTTGGATAACAATTTCAGCTAACTTCTTCTCTGGAGAATTTCCCTTGGTTAAAACAAGAGCCAACTCATGCATGAGGTTCTGCTGCAATCCTGCCCCTGAAGAGATCATTCAATGATGGATCGGCATCTATGTCCAAAGAGCTGGCCTTGTTGGCCAGCACTGGGTGGTGAATTTCATGGGATCAGTGGAAACTCATTTTTGGTTCTTTGTCCTCTTGGCCAATCCTCCCTCCTCCATCACCTTCTCTAGAGTGCACGGTCCTAATAAAACACTTTAATAAGAATTTCTTTCTCAGGCTCTGTTTCTAGATAACCTGATCCAAGACTATCGCTGGCCTAATTAAGACCCTGGTTATCAGGAGTGTCTTTGAGCGTTGTTTTTATATGCAGAAAAGGATTATTCCGAAGTTTCTCTTGAGGAGTGAAATACTAAGACATGCTACAACATGATGACCATTGAAGACATTATGCCAAGTGGAAGAAGCCAGACACGAAAGACCACATCCCGTAGAAAACCATTTGTTTGAAATGCTCAGAATAGGCAAATCCATAGAGACAGAAAGGACATTAGCAATTGCCGGGGGCTGGGAATAGGGAAGAGTAAGAATGGGGGTAATTGTTAATAGGTGTAGAGTTTCCTTTGGGGTGATGAACATGTTTTAAAATTAGATTGCGGTGAATGCTGTGCAACTCTAATATACTAAAAACCGCTGGATTATACACTTTAAATGGGCAAATTTTATGGTATGTGAATTATATCTCAATAAAGCTGTTGAAAGAGCTATGAGGAAATAAAGAAAATATTCTTTTAAAAAATCTTTGCCTTAAACAGTTAATATTGAACTTTTTAGTTCCAAATTCAATGTCCTAGTTATACCTTCCAGGCATCCCCAAACTTTTTACACAGGGGGCCAGTTCACTGTCCCTCAGACCGTTGGAGGGCCGCCACATACTGTGCTCCTCTCACTGACCACCAATGAAAGAGGTGCCCCTTCCTGAAGTGCGGCGGGGGGCCGGATAAATGGCCTCAGGGGGCCGCAGTTTGGGGATGCCTACCTAAGGCTTTTACATTTGGTTTACGGCTCTTACTATTCTTGTGGTAAGTATAGTAAATCTTAACAGTCATTTGCAATTAGCCTTTCACTAACTTTCAGTCTCATTCACATACTCAATTATCTTCAAACCAACATTTTAAACTGTATTTACAAATTTAATATTTTACCCCATTCATAAGTACTTCAAATGTCTAATTTAATTCCTTCTTGAATCCTTACATAATAATTTTTAAGCTAATAATAAAACAATAAGGCAAACCTAAATTTTTCTTTGCTGTTCTCATACCATCCATAAATTTAGTAAGATTTCATCTTAAAACTAGAAATCGAGTGCTCCATTTTGTGTTTTAACTTTTAATTATCTTTTTATGAAGCCAAAAATCTCTTAAACATGATAAGTACATAATATACCAGATATACAGAGAATCCTTTTAATGGTATGGTTTTAATTATTTTACACCTTTTTATTCCTAATTGTAAAAAGTCCAGAAATTAAATGAGGCATATGTACTAAAAGGCCAGGTACTAATCAGATAAACAGAAATAATTAGACCAGAGATCTTGGCAGGTTCTGAGACCTGGAGTAGATATCCAGAATGATTCATCTGTCTATTCCAGCTATCGCATCTAAGCCCCTCTTTGTAGTCATTTTGTCTTGGACTACAAAAACTGAAGCAAAGTGTTGGATTCAAGTTACATACATTACCTGCATCTCTACTCACAAAAACCTGCAGCTTCCTACCTGGTAAATCACTTGATTGGATTTTTATTTACAAATTTTTATAATAAAATTTTTTGACTCTTAGACTGTATAATAGGAAATAGGAAAAATAGGAAGAGAGACATATGTCTTTTCCACTCAACATATAGAAAGTATTTGCACTTAAAGGCCGGGCGCGGTGGCTCAAGCCTATAATCCCAGCACTTTGGGAGGCCGAGGCGGGTGGATCATGAGGTCGAGAGATCGAGACCATCCTGGTCAACATGGTGAAACCCCGTCTCTACTAAAAATACAAAAAGTTAGCTGGGCATGGTGGCTCGTACCTGTAATCCCAGCTACTCAGGAGGCTGAGGCAGGAGCATTGCCTGAACCCAGGAGGCAGAGGTTGCTGTGAGCCGAGATCGAACCATTGCACTCCAGCCTGGGTAGCAAGAGCGAAACTCCGTCTCAAAAAAAAAAAAAAGAAAAAAAAAAAAGTATTTGCACTTGAATTATTGCATTTGATTGCACTCTCCAGAATTCACAGATATTAAAAATTATTTCTACCTGTTATTTTCTATGATGTGTGTTCACAATATCTGAAGTCCTTGTACTATGTGCATTAATCCTATTTGCCAAAAGATTGTACATTTCTCTGCTCATCCATGCAGTAGGCTGAGGAGAATGTTCTGCCAGGTGCTATGCTAAGTTCTGGAACTACAGAAATGAATAAGAGCATTTGTTCACACTTATGGAGTTCAGACTCTAGGTAGGAAAGACCTAAAAACAGAAAATCATTTTAATTACTTGCTCAGCGGCTCCTTTTTCATAGGAAAAGAGGACAAGGATTTCATTCAATGACGACTTGACTGTTTGTCTGATTCACTGCTGTTAATACCAGCACCTAATACGTAGTCACACTCAGTATTTGTTAAATACATGGATACATGCTAAAATAGAGTTATATAGAGGGAGTATGGGAGCCTCCAAAAGGGACATTTGCCTAGTTTAATGTGGAGATACTGGACTGGAGGGTGAGGTAAGGGTGTTACTTCAGAATTATAACGAAAAATTTCTTAAAGATGAGAACTAAGCTGAGTTTTGGGAGGCAGAGAAAATTAGGTAAAAGCGGAGTTGGTGGTTGCTTAGGAGTTCCCATATCTTGTGGAGGAACTTCAAGCAGTTTCGGAGTGCCAAGACATCAGTCTGTAAATGTAAGCATTTACAGAGAAATCTGGAAGGGCTTTCTAGGCTGTTTTATGTATTTCCATTTTAGTCTCCATATCAATATGCTTATTTTTAAAACTTGTCCATGGATCCCTACTACACTGATGCTAAGGACTGCATCTTGTCTGTTATCCAGGTTCCCAGCACAATAATGGGGATATGGTAGTTCCTCAAAAGTTAATGAAGATATGAATGAAAGAACAAACGAAAAGAATGACAAGTAATGGCACTGTGTGCACTCTTCAGTGACGAAGTCATCTGGATGGTGGGGATGTCAGGAACGGAGCCTATACCAGGTTAGACAGAGACCTACTCAGCATCTTAACTCATGGTGAGGTGAGTTTAGTGAGCCTCACATCTGAGAAATAAAATCAGAGAGAGGAATGTTGGGAGTTTCAAACTGCTTTCCTAGCGGGAAAGTGAAAACACACAAATATGGCGGGGTGCGGTGCCTCAAGCCTGTAATCCCATTTTGCTGAGGCCGGACGATTGCTCGAGGCCGATTACGAAACCAGCCTGGGCAACATCGCGAGACCCCGCTGTGTTGTAGAGACCTCATCTTTACAAAAGAACAAAATTGAAATTAGTGGCAAGCGCCTGTAGTCCCAGTTACTGGGATGAGGAGGGAGGATCGCTCCACTGCACTCCAGCCTGGGCGACAGAGCGAGACCTTGTCTCAAATAGAGTTAAGACAGACAGATAAGATAAACAGACTTTAGAATGTATTAGGCTTTGTAATTTCTAGGTTCCAATGAGCCGCAAGGGAAAGGGCCTGGCCGATTAGTATGTTACACCCGGAAGTAAAGAGACGAATAGACCGTCGGTTGCACGTTGCAGTCGGGCCGGCAAACTAGGGACACCACCGCGCAGAGTTAAGTGCTGGGACTTCCAAAGCCTGGAAAGCTGACTGTGTCTCTGCGACTACGGGGCTGCCACGAGCGCTGAGCGGCGGGGTATTTGGCCTCCAGGAGGAGGCACTGTAACGGCAGCGCGGAGAGGGCGGAACGCGGAACGCGGAACGCAACCACTCTAGCTCCCGACGGACGCAGTTTCCGGTAGCACTGGCGAGCTCCGGGCCAGCTGCGGAGCGACTCCCCTCCGCCGAGAGGGCGACCTGGCTGTCGGGAAGGACGGGCTGGGGCCTGCAGTTCCTCCTCCGGAGCATCCCCGCCAGCGGGACGACCCCACGCGGCAGCACGGGCTTCCGGCTTCTGCGCTCAGTGGAGACAATTCGAGGGCACAGCGGGCTCCGGAGGCGCGGTAAGCCTATCCCGCCTCCCAGCCACAGCCACCGGCACCCGAGAGGCCAGCCGCCCGCGGCAGACTGTTTTCACGGCAGGAGGCGGACGGCCCATGTCCTGGAGAGGTGGGCTCTGGGGAAAGCTCGGGGTCCCACCACTACTTCCTGGAGACGCCGGGAAAAGCAGGTCATCCCTTCGGGTCACCCACTTCTTCTCCGATTGGTTAACTCCTCTCTTAATGCGCCCACCCCCGGCTGCTGATTGGTCGGGATACACCGTCTGTCACCTGCTTCCCTGTGGGAATCTAGGTCGCTAAGCGAAGCGTTACTTGAGGCTCGGTTGGGAAGAGGTTAGTTGGGCCCCTGGAGCCCACTTTGTTTATCGTAGTGAGGATCGTCCCCGGCGCGAGCTTCCGTCGCAACGGCCAGGAAAGAAACCAGTAGCGGGACGGAGGGCGGGGGAGGCAAGAAAGTCAAGGTTTAGAAGGAAACTGGAGACGCCTAACCGTGGTCACATCCGAATGGGAACCGGATAGGAAGGAAGGCCTTTGAGAGAGGAGGCGCAAAACCCAGGAGCAGTGACAGTGTAGGAAGAAAGGCCTAAGTTTGTTGTGGGAGGAAGGCGCCTTGCGGGAGGTTTTCATGACCTAATCGTATGGGGGGTCTAATTTTCTAGGTGTGTCTAACAAAATCCACTGGAGAATTTGCTTTGGCTTTGCAGCAGGATGGCCCTCAAAGAGAGTTTATTGAATTATTCAACTCTCTCTTTTATTGCTTTCAGATGGGCAGCTCTCAAAAAAGGCACAAACAGTTGAAGGATGGATACCATGGCATTTGTTAAAAGCATGTTGAAAGGAAAATAAGGTATTCACTTTGTTTTCATTGTGATTAATTGTGTAAGAAAATTACCTTCGAGGAGAAGCTCTTAAAGTTTTAATATTAAGGTAGCTTGATTTTATGCTAGGTTTCAACTTGTAAAATTATTTATTGCAAAAATCATATTATCGCTGTACCTACCAGATATGCTCTTTGCTAATTATAGTCCTAATCTGAAAATACAAATCTTGAGTTTTTAGTAGTGTTAATTCATATTTGAGTGGATAATGCTACTAGGTCATTTGATCAAAATGACGTAATAACCACAGTGAAAAAAAAATCCTTGCATTTGTAGTTTAGTGTTACAGGTGAAATTGAATAGTTACTTGCTCCTACAGTATTTTAGAATTCTAGGCTAACTTTACCTTACGTTTAAAGCAGCTTGCTTATTAAACACCTGGTATGTTTCGAGAGGCAGAGTTATACAGTTGCTTCACTGGTAGCCTAACTATTTGAGCCTCCAGCCTCTCCCGAGTCAGATGCTGGATTACTCATACCCCTTAGTGACATGCCAGAAATTGTCGAGGAATAGTTTATTTCATCTGCAGCTGCAGAACACCCAAATTAGCTTTGAGCAGACCTGGCTTTTACGTGGAAAACTCTAATTGAGGATTGGTGGGTGATGAGATCTGGGCATCTGTATTTTAAAAAATATCCTTAAGTGAGTTTGAGAACCATTGCTTTAGTGTGGCTTACTAAATAGATGTGTTTATGAAATTCTAAACTATTATGAAGCAAACATCTTTCTCCTGTGATTTCCTTATAGTTTAAAAGTGAGCTTCTCAGGAATGACATTTAAATATAATCCGAAAATAATGTTTTCTTAGGCAAAGTCAAGAAGTTCCACTGGCACTCTGAAACCCCTGGGACTGACTATTCCAGGCTTAAGGATCAGGCTTGATATGAGGAGACACAAAGTGCTCTGATGTACTTTCACAGTCCTCGAGCCATACATGATGTCTTGTTTCCTGTTGGGTTTCAAAGTCTTCCTGGTAGGCTTTAAGGAGAGATCACTTACCAGTCTATTCTCGGTAGATATTAATTAGGCTAAATGATTTTCACCTCAACAAAGTGCAAGGGGGATAATATTACCTTCATGAGCCTTATTTTCGAAAGAATACCTTGCTGAAAATAAATGTAAAGCATATCATCCCAATAGTCCTTTGCTTATTAAGTGAAGAATGTGAATAATTCAAGCCTAAAATTTTAATTGTGAAGTACCCAGATATTGAAACGTAAATGAGGACTTTCAGATTACCTTTTCCAGATCGTCAACGGGTAAAAAATGAGATAATCACTATGGTATTCAGGCATGAGCAATGTGTGGTAAACCCAAATACAGTCTGACTTAATGGCTTTAGGCAAAGAAGTAGCTCCAATTGTGTTGTATTTCCTAGAAGTTGTTTTGCATTTTATATGTCAGTTTCTCACTGCAAGATTTGGGAAATACAGTATTTGGGTAGGGGACAGCATTCAAAAATTAAGAAAAACTAAGTTAAAAACACAAAGCTATATGTGGTTCATAACTTAACACCTTGAATTTTGTTTATATTGTTTGAACAGAAAGGCAGGAATCTCAGGATGAGTCAGTCTCGATCTAGATCAGATGGTGGTAGTGAAGAAACCTTACCTCAAGACCATAATCATCGTGAAAATGAGAGAAGATGGCAGCAAGAGCGTCTCCACAGAGAAGAGGCCTATTATCAGTTTATTAATGAACTCAATGATGAAGATTATCGGCTTATGAGAGACCATAATCTTTTAGGCACCCCTGGTAAGAGATGGGTAAAAGAGGAGACAATTTTTTTCATCATTTGATGGAGGGATTTCAAAATAAAGAGAATTGGTCGTTTTCCCTGCTTTTCTTTATGAAAATATAGTGTATTGTTTTTGTGAGTTTAAGAACGTCTTAGTATAACAAAGTAGACAATCACTGGCTTACTTCTGTATTTTATAAAGTAAAAATATGGAACATGGAGCACTACCATACAAATGCCTAACAAGGAGGTTAATGTACATAATAGTGTTAAATATTTACATATATGGTTCTGTTTGCAATTTTTATGCAAATAAAATATGACTTAAAATTTGAACTCATTTGGGGTATTATAATTTATTTATTCAACTGAATTAATAACTCCCCCCAGAGCCCAGTGTGTTCCATAAAATTTTTACAAATGAACTAATGGAAATTTGTATATTTATATATTGTGTGTTTGTATATTGATGACCCCTATAATGAAGTATTTGGGGTAAAATTTAAGTCTTTATTTGAAGTTTTCTGTATAAATGCTCCCTTAATTTCTTTTTAACTGACAAAAATCACAGAGTTATAGCTGATTGGTTCCTAAGAGTATCAACTGGCAGCACTTTACCAGCTATTCAAATTAATCTTATTTTAATAATTTTTAATTAAAGATTAATAAGTGAAGCACAACCAAATTGATGCACGTTTGCACCAGTTGAATATTTTTGACTGTCTTCAATTTATAGAACATATGAAAGTAGTAAGACATTTGTCTTCTGCAAGTTACTAAAGATTAGTCTTACCCTACATGAGGTTTAAAAACTTAATTCAGAATTGAATTAAACAATTTTTAATTTAAATGGCAATTTTTCATTGTTTTAGGAGAAATAACATCAGAAGAACTGCAACAGCGGTTAGATGGGGTCAAGGAACAACTAGCATCTCAGCCTGACCTGAGAAATGGAAGAAATTACAGAGGTACTGTGGAGTCCTTTCCATAAGGAACAGGCCTGATTGGAGCACTTGCAGAAATGAAATTATTAGACCTAGTATAATATGTTTGTCTTCAATTTTTTCCAGTTTTAATGTGATACTCATTCAGATAATGTGTATATGAATAGTAAAGCAGTATGGTTAGGCAGTATAGGACAGAGGAGTAAATGCAAAGATGTCTTAAACACACAGATTACCTTCAGAGAGCTTTATGAAATAATATGCAATTAATTCCCAGCATAGTTCTTTTTAATCTTGGAATGTATACACTACTTTTTCTAAAGTGGTATTACTCAGCCTCTAAAGATTTATATACAGAACCATGTAGAGAGACTGTTGGGAAACCTGTTTTGGTTTCTTTGTTCTGTTTGACGGTTTACATATAAAAAGTTCTTGAAAGTACTGTAAAAGAATTTTCAAACTAAATAGAAGTTGTAGAGTTAAAAGTAAGAGCCACTTTTGTGTCCTTCTTAACCAGTTCTACTTCCCTCCTCAGAGGTATTTATTAGCAGTTGCGCCTATTATATCAAAATCATTGTATTAGTTACAGTGCAGTCCGTATGGAAACCCCCAAATACAATGGCTCAATAAGATAGCACCTGAATGTGGCTAGTATGAAATCCTCCTGGAATCCACTCACCTAACAGAATGGTTCTACAACTGTGCTGTTCAGTACAGTAGCTGATAGCCACATGTGACTGTTTAAGTGGAAATCAATTAAAATTAAATAAAATTTAAAATTTAGCTCCTCATTCATACTAGCCACATTCAGGTGCTTAATAATCACATGTGGCTAGTGGCTTCTGTATTGAACAGCACAAATACAGAAAATACTCATTACTGCAGAAAGTTTTTTGGGGCATCACTGCTCCAGGGTGCCATTTGTATGATCAAGCTAAGTCGCAACTGTATATCTAGGTTCTAGCTGGTAGGGAGGAGATCCAGGCACAAGCCTGAGAGTAAGATGTATCACTTGCTCTCTCATTCCGTTCATGAGAACTTAGTCTCATGGTCACACCTAACTGCCAGGTTGTCCACGTGCCCATTTCTGATGCTTTCACATAGGAAGAAGAGTAGGGTAGATTTGGGTAGGTAGTTAGCAAACTCTTTCACATGCACTATCATCACTACACTTTCGTTAATCAAAGAAGGAAGTAGCATTTAAAATAATTCATGTTCACCTGGTTTTTACTCATCTCTTTTTCCAAACAAATGGAAAGTGGACATGAACACTTTTTGTTCTTTGTGTTTAGATACGTAAGTTGTACTATATAGATAGAATAATTAATACTGATCTTTTGAATATGTTTGAATGGAAAATGTACTCATCAAATATAAAATAGCTCATCACCTCTGGAATATGGCTAAGTTGCTGTTTATTGGCCTCAATGGCTCATTAATAGCTTTAACTTCAACATTAAAAAAAAGACTTATGAGAGAGATTACAGTAATAAAATGAAATCAGAATGATGTCATATAATAGCTACTTTTGAGTAGAACAAACTTTAAAGTTGAAGTTTGTATGGTTAATATGTTTTTAGTTAATATGCTTTTTGTTAAGTTTTGTACTCTACATAATCTCTACTGATTATAAGTGGAAAATTTAAGCTTGGCACAGTGACAGTATCTTAGTCAAAAGAAGTTTATATATGACACATTTATTTCTAAATTGATTAATTGATCAATATTAATTGAAGTCTGATTTGTACCAGATACTGTTGTAGACGCTGGGGATGTAACAGTGACTGAAACTACAAAAATCTTCGTCTTCATGGAGCTTACATTCTAAATGAATAGAAAATGCATTTTATTATGTTTAACAGCTAACACCATTTATGGGGTGGCTTTTTATGTGCCAGATATTATGCTAATTATTTTATATATAGCATCTTATTTTATCCTCAGGATAACCCTATGAGATTGATTCTATTATTATCTCCAGTTTAGAGACAGGGATCAGCCATAGAGACCTTAAGTAACTTGCCTAGTTTCTCAGCTTCACACAAAGACAAGTATAGTAATGTGGTTTTAATGTTATATTCAAAGATTCACATGTCTGGATATATACATTTTTGGCAGCACCTGAGAAATAGGAAAAATTTCTAAGATTACAGAAATACCTAATTGCAAAAATAATGATTGATTTGACTTTTCCAGAAAGATTTCACAAATACAGGACAGATTGTACATAAAGTTTGTTATTGTATCTTATTGATAATACTATATTGATGAAGAAATTTAAATGTAAAATTTTGTTAGTGCATATATTTCTCATTTGCCTTAACATTTTGCAGTAATGGGAGATGGAAAGTAAGAGTGAGGATTTCTCCATAGCTTTGCGTAAATAGTATTTAAAGCTTTGTAATTATGTAAATAGTAATTTAATTTTTGTAATATGCTGTAGTATATACTTTTCTTTTAGAAAGGTCTTTTTTTGGGCCACCATTTTTTCATTAAAATCCAGAGATGTTCCTTATTATACACTTTGTTTTTCTTACAAGTTTTCAATAAAGCTGTAAGGTATGTCTTAGAGATTGATCTTCAGTTGATTTGCTTTGCTTTCTAGACTCAGAAGTGCCTAGAGAAAGTTCAAATGAAGATTCTCTTTTAGAATGGCTGAACACCTTCCGACGCACAGGAAATACAACTCGAAGTGGACAAAACGGGAACCAAACTTGGAGGGCTGTGAGTCGGACGAACCCGAACAGTGGAGAGTTTCGGTTTAGTTTGGAAATCCACATAAATCATGAAAACAGAGGATTTGAAATTCATGGAGAAGATTATATAGACATTCCACTTTCAGATAGTAACAGAGATCATACTACAAATAGGCAACAAAGGTCAGCTAGTCCTGTGGCTAGGCGAACAAGAAGCCAAACCTCAGTGAATATCAGTGGTAGTAGCTCCAACATTCCAAGGACTAGGCTGGCTTCAAGGGGGCAAAATCCAGCGGAAGGATCTTTCTCCTCATTGGGAAGGTTAAGAAATGGAACTGGGGGAGCAGCTGGCATTCCTCGAGCTAGTGCTTCACGCACTAATTACAGTAGTCACACACACCAATCAGGTGGTAGTGAACTCAGGCAAAGGGAAGGGCAACGGTTTGGAGCAGCACATGTTTGGGAAAATGGGGCTAGAAGTAATGTTACAGTGAGGAATACAAACCAAAGATTAGAGCCAATAAGATTACGATCTACGTTCAGTAGTCGAAGCCGTTCACCAATTCAGAGACAGAGTAGCACTGTTCATCATAATTCCCAAAGGGAAAGTAGACCAGTACAGCAAACCACTAGAAGATCTGTTAGGAGGAGAGGTGTAAGTCGAGTCTCTTTAGAGCAAGATAGAGAACGAGAACGCAGAGGTACTGCATATACCCCACTCTCTAATTCAAGACTTGTGTCAAGAATAACAGTAGAAGAAGGAGAAGAATCCAGCAGATCCTCAACTGCTGTACGACGACATCCAACAATCACACTGGACCTTCAAGTGAGAAGGATCCGTCCTGGAGAAAATAGAGATCGGGATAGTATTGCAAATAGAACTCGATCCAGAGTAGGGCTAGCAGAAAATACAGTCACTATTGAAAGCAATAGTGGGGGCTTTCGCCGAACCATTTCTCGTTTAGAGCGGTCAGGTATTCGAACCTATGTTAGTACCATAACAGTTCCTCTTCGTAGGATTTCTGAGAATGAGCTTGTTGAGCCATCGTCAGTGGCTCTTCGGTCAATTTTAAGGCAGATCATGACTGGATTTGGAGAACTGAGTTCTCTAATGGAGGCTGAATCTGAGTCAGAGCTTCAGAGAAATGGTCAGCTTTTACCAGAGATGCATTCAGACCTGAGGAACTTAGATACTGTTAATGACAGGAGCCAGCACAGGGAAGGTTCCTCTCAAGACAGGCAGGCCCAAGGAGACAACACTGAAATGCATGATGAAAACGAGACCACCCAGCCTCATACCCGAAACAGTGACACTAGGGGTGGCAGGCAGTTGCGAAATTCAAACACTTTAGTTGAAACTGGAACACTACCTATTCTTCGCCTTGCTCACTTTTTTTTACTAAATGAAGGTGATGATGATGATCGAATACGTGGTTTAACCAAAGAGCAGATTGACAATCTTTCTACCCGGCACTATGAGCATAACAGTATTGATAGTGAACTAGGTAAAATCTGTAGTGTTTGTATCAGTGACTACGTAACTGGAAACAAGCTCAGGCAATTACCTTGCATGCATGAATTTCACATTCATTGTATTGACCGATGGCTCTCAGAGAATTGCACTTGTCCGATCTGTCGGCAGCCCGTTTTAGGGTCCAACATAGCAAGCAATGGGTAAAGTAATGGGATCTCCCCAAGTACCGTTTTTTTAGGAGAACTGAATGCTCAAGCATTGTTTTGCTGAGTTATTTGTGATGAACTAACCAGGATGAAAAATAACAGATTATATATAGTATGAACTATTTTTTGTGTGCTTTTTTAAACTTGTTAAAAAGAGGAAATTTATATAAAATGTTAAATTATCCAGAAATACAAAATAGTCAATATTGCTAGAACCAAATAACCTCTAAGATGTCTTTATTTTGGTAATTTTGTCATGCTAAGCACTTTTGTATCTGCACAATTCAGTAGGTTAAAAATCAATCTTCTTTTTCTTAATAGTACAGCAGACTTTACTTTTAAGTTTCATAGGCTTAGTACTTATGTCTAGACATTTGTGTCTAAATAAGCTTTTCATTAACTTTTTATTTTAAGGACAGTGTCTTTTCATGAAAGAGTATTTGGCTGAATGTTTGCTATATATATGTTACTTGAAATAAATTTAATATGCAGCATACCATATGTGTATATATAGGTATATAATTTTAAGGTTAAAATATTCACACAAGTTTGGTTCTTATTTAAGCTTTTGGGCTAATACTGCATATGGCACAATGTTTATTGGCAAGATCATCTCAGAAAGGGGATTCAGATATAATTTTAAAATAGAGATAATTTACTGAAGCGTCTCTGACAATCTAACTTATTAGATAGCAAGCAATATATACTGAAAAAGTATTCAGGAATGGAAAAATTAGAGCATATAGGTTATTTAACTTGTGTTCAGCCCTTTTGTAACTTTTTTGAAAGTGCAAACAATTCTTTGGATTATTAAATAAGGTATACAATATGCATGGTTTCTCAAATTTAGTTTTAAAATCTAAAAAAAAGTCTATAAAGAAATGCATAGATAATAAGTTCACTTGGAGGCTAAAAATTTGCAATGAAATCAAAACAAAAACGTTTAAGAGAATGTAGAGTTTATATAAACACAAAGTGTGCATTGAAGATCTGTTTCTACCAATAAATATTAAAACAAAGACTGTATGTGACCTATTTTTTTCTGTTGCTCCACTGTGGTTTATTCACCCACCTAATATTTTATACTAGATACCAGGCAGTGTTACGGTATAGAGTATTCCCCAGATGACAGACAAAAGTCCCTGGCTTCATGGAAAAGATACATTTGCTCTTAGAAACTGAAAATCAATTGATAAAGTGAATTATTATTCTTACTTTCATATTTGCTTATGAATATATGACAGGATTTTCTTGTGGCGACACTGCTTGGGCAAAATCACAAGAATAGTACTTAAGGGCAGATTCTGAGATTTAGAAATATCACCACATTTAATTTTTCTTTCTGACTGGTGAATATATTCAGTTTATTAGGTTAGATGCATGCCCAAGAATGTTGAGGAGTGCATTTAATTCATAGAGTGAAAGGTTTTCATAAAAGTTGTGACTTTGTTTGGAGTAAATTATTTACAGAGGTCAACTTGAGGACATTAAGAGTGGGAAGGTTGATTTGTATCAGATTTGAAGGCTTTACATAGCAAACTAAGGACTTTTTATCTTACCTTATAGAGATGTTAGATGTCTCTTGATTTTAGTGGCAGAGGGTAAGATCATTTTTCATGTCCCAGGAGGATGGGTCTACTACAGCATATAGAACACGATGGAATGGAGAGAGATGGGAAGCAAAAGAACTATTGTGACAAAAGACATCATTATTTTTATTACCAGTTGTCATCAGTTGTTATCTAACCTAGAGTGATGGCAGTGAAACTGAAAGGAAAGAGAAGGGTGTAAAAATGTTTTTGTTTTTGTTTTTTAAAAAGACCTTATTTGGTCTCTAGTAAAGTGTGAAGGGGTGGAAGAGAGTCGTATATTCAGAGATGAAGAGAGACTCGCCCAGGTGGAGGAGGGAGAGGTAGCACAAATTAGTTACAAGGTATGCCAATTTAAACATCTTGAACATAACTCATACATCTCACTTATTTTAATGTTACAATTTGTCCCCAGTATGAGGAGAGACTAAGTCCAAGATTTATTTGTTTATTTATTTATTTTTTGAGATGGAGTTTTCACTCTTCTTGCCCAGGCTAGAGTGCAATGGCATGATCTCAGCTCACTGCAACTTCTGCCTCCCAGGTTCAAGCAATTTGCCCAGCAAATTTAGTAATTTTAGTAGAGACAAGTTTCACCATATTGGTTAGGCTAGTCTTGAACTCCCGACCTCAAGTGATCTGCCCGCCTCGGCCTCCCAAAGTGCTGGGATTACAGGCATGAGCCACCACGCTCAGCCGGGATTTATGTCTTATATGGAATATTCCTTAGAAAGTTCTACCTCCCTTGGCCTGATGCAATAGGGAAATTAGGAGGAAAATGAAGAGGGGCATGAAAAAAGTAAGCATACAGAAAAAGGCACATTGATTCTTTGACTTGGTCCTTTTCAAGACGTGATAGTGTTACCAGCATGGAAATAAATCCCATATAGGCATTTGAAACAGAAGCAGGCTGTGTATTGTATGGAAAATTCCCTGAAAGCAGCAGTACAGCTTAATTTCGTAAATTGATAACCCAGTTGAGAACAAAAAAAGATATTCTTTAATATTTTCATTCATTTCCCAATGAACAAGGCTGATGACAAATACAAAGGCCCATTAATCTATTTCTAGCTTCTATTTAGCAATGATTGTACCCTTTGTGGTTCCAATATAGATAGGAACAAATAGTTAGAAATTCTTCATTTGAGTATTATGTTCCATGTCAGGTCCGTAGAGCTTGTTCTTTAGAGTGTGGCTGTCTGGCAAACTTCTATTTCTAGACTGGCGGCTTCCAGCTGCTCTCCCACATAGTTATATCCTTTTACCCTGGTTTCTCCTTTCCTAGATTTTTTGTTTTCAGCCAGCATTATGACCCATACTTAATTATCACTCTTATGAGGTTATTTTCCTTTCAGTATTTAACATGAATTCACAATTTGAACCTCCGAAGGTCTCCTTTAAGTATTTTTGCTACCTAACCTAGTAATTGGCAGAGTTTAGGGAGTCAATCACTTCATGTGGCCATTTGCCTCCAAAGCTCCTGCTTTTCCCACTATGCCGCATTCTGGAGAAGCAGAAATGCCTTGGAAAGTTTTCAGTCTAATTTAATTCCTCCTAAAGATATTTTTCGAATTTTACAACTTTGTTCTATCATGTGTCTGATTACCCTAATTTCCATATGCAAACGTGTTCTGCTGATGCATGGAGAAGGGTCGTCCCTGAAAGATATAAAACAGAATCTGTATTATAAAGATGAATCCAGGAAAGAGATGAATGTGGCATCTGAAGATGCTGCATTAAGGGCCAGAGTTAAGCTCATTCTGAGGCATTCTCATGTACGTTACTCCAGACAAGAACATCTAATGAACTTTTAATCTTCCTGCATCTCTCCTTTGGAATAATCTGTGGCCAGGGGAGGGAGAAACTAGAAACAGCACTTGACATGAAAGCCAGGGTAGTTAATTCCCTTTGCAGTAGTGGGCGCTCACTTGGGGTCTCTCCCTCAGTCCTGTGTAACATTGGAAATCATTGGAATCTCTGTATAAAGAGATGATTTCCCAGGAAATCATCTGTCATTGAGAACATTGTCCCATGTTCCAAAAGCCATGATGATGGCTGTCAGTGGTGTTTTTTTCTTTAGTCTCTAGAGACAGATTGCACATTATTTTCAGTGAGTATGAGTGTGCTAGTCTCTGAATATATTTGCCCTTTTGATCATCGGAGATTCATAATTACTTTCAACAAGTTTTGTTTGAATATTAAATCGCTGAAGACTCTGAATTCGCCCCTATATATTTTACAATGGTAAAACATAATTTTTAATTTTTTTTTTAAGGCAGAAGGGGCCCATGAAGGCAGAAGTGTCGAGGGCGCATGAGAGTCATAATGTGTCCCTGCTCAGTTCCCCGTTTATGTGCTTCTTCAAAGCACTGTGAACCCCTTGGTTATCCTCAGCACCTGGCATGATACCTGGTACATAGTAGGCCCCTCAATATATATTCAATGAGCAAATGCATGGAAGTTTCAGTATATAGGTAAACCCTGGCTTACAAATACCTTCTACATTAAAATGTTGTTTGTAAAATTTTCTATGAAACTCAGAACACAATTCCCAAAGAAATAATATCAGATGTTTGTGGTTTGAGGCAAGAGAGGAAAGGCTCCCAGGCCAGTCCACAAAAACGTATATAAACCACAATGTTTCTGCAGCCAAAAGCAGAAAAATCCAATGGTCCTGAAAGTTAACAAACAAAACAGAACAAGAATGAAATTGAAGAAACAGTTTTAAACGTTTACCTTGAGGCCAGGTGTGGTGGCTCACACCTGTAATCCTAGCACTTTGGGAGGCCGAGGCAGGCGGATCACAAGGTCAGGAGATCGAGACCATCCTGCCAACATGGTGAAACCCCATCTCTACTAAAAATACAAAAAATTAGCTGGGGGTGGTGGCGCATGCCTGTAATTCCAGCTATTCAGGAGGCTGAGGCAAGAGAATCTCTTGAACCAGGGAGTCAGAGGTTGCAGTGAGCCGAGATTACGCCACTGCACTCCAGCCTGGCAAGAATGAGACTTTGTCTCAAAAACAACAACAGCAAAAAAGTTTACCTTGAACCCAAGTGTTTGACACCGTGCGAAGCCTGCCTTTCTCAAATTTCGAATTACCCCGTCTTTGACAGCCTGCTGCAGACACCGTCTGCTTAACCGCGGTGGTTACACCAGGGTTCCAAACTCTGTCTCGTGCCACCTTGACAGGCAGATGGTGGCCTGGGCTGTGTGCTCTGTCTTGTCTCTCACTGCTTCCATCTACTTCCTCTGCTGGCTCCCTTCCCCCAACCAGCAGGGATGGGGAACGGGCCCTCTAGTCAAAGGGCTGGCCAGCAAGTTGTGGCTATTCAGACTGTGGGCAGAGCAAAGTGGGAGAGAAGCATGGTAGAGCAGGTTAACCCTTCACAGCTTAATGCTGCATTAAGCTTCATGCTGAACTCTGTTCAGATTTTTTTTTTTTTTTTTTTGAGACGGAGTTTCGCTCTTGTTACCCAGGCTGGAGTGCAATGGCGCGATCTCGGCTCACCGCAACCTCCGCCTCCTGGGTTCAGGCAATTCTCCTGCCTCAGCCTCCTGAGTAGCTGGGATTACAGGCACGTGCCACCATGCCCAGCTAATTTTTTGTGTTTTTAGTAGAGACGGGGTTTCACTATGTTGACCAGGATGGTCTCGATCTCTTGACCTCGTGATCCACCCGCCTCAGCCTTCCAAAGTGCTGGGATTACAGGCTTGAGCCACTGCGCCCGGCCTTCCGTTCAGATTTTTTAAAATGTTTTTTAAGATAGGGTCTTACTTTGTCTCCTAGGCTGGAATGCAGTGGTGCACCATCACAGCTCACTGCAGCCTTTACCCCCTGGGCTTGGGTGATCCTCCCACCTCAGCCTCCTGAGTAGCTGGAGCTACAGGCATGTGCTACCACACTCAGTTGAATTTTGTATTTTTTATAGAGACAGGGTTTTGACATGTTGTCCAGGCTGGTCTCGAACTCCAGGACTCAAGTGATACTCTTGCTTTGGCCTCCCAAAGTGCTGGGATTACAGGCATGAGCCACTGTGCCTGGCCTTTTTATTTTTATTTATTTATTTATGAGACAGTCTCACTCTGTCACCCAGGTTGGAGTGCAATAGCGTGGTCTCAATTCACTACAACCTTTGCTTCCCAGGTTCAAGTGATTCTCCCGCCTCAGCTTCCGAGTAGTTGGGATTACAGGTGCGTGCCGCCACCCCCAGCTAATTTTTGTATTTTTAGTAGAGATGGCATTTCACTATGTTGACCAGGCTGCTCTTGAACTCCTGACCTCGTGATGCATCCACCTCAGCCTCCCAAAGTGTTGGGATTATAGGCGTGAGCTGCCGGGCCTGGCCTTATTTTATTTTTTTAGCAAAGAAAAAGGATTTAGTTTTAATCTTAAAGAGAGTTTATCCTGTGTGATTGAGAGTAGCATTGTTTGTG